CACCCTTTAACTGATCAAACAAATCATTAATTCTAGGGAGATGATACTTGTTCTTGATAGTCACCTTATTGAGCTGTCTATAATCAATGCAGAGACGCATGGAACCATCTTTCTTCTTAACAAATAACACTGGAGCTCCCCAAGGTGATACACTTGGTCTGATGAATCCTTTATCCAACAATTCCTGTAACTGAATCTTTAACTCTTGCAACTCTTTTGGAGCCATTCTATATGGTGCCATTGCAATAGGCGTTGTTCTAGGTATTATCTCAATCTGAAATTCCACCTCTCTATCTGGAGGTAGACCTGACAACTCTGCAGGAAAAACATCTGGAAACTCTCTGACTATGGGAATTTCTTCAATCCCTTTCTCATTGGTTCTAATATCCAACACATTAGCAATGAAACCCTGACATCCCTATAACAATAATTTCTTTACTGACATCACTGATATTACGTTTTCCAATGGATTTCATCATTCACTGAACACTATAACATCCACTCCATCGGGACTGATTAATGTTACCCTCTTCAGTCTACAGTCAACATTAGCATAATAGCGATATAACCAGACCATTCTCAATATCACTTCGAATTCGTCAAAGGGTAATTTCATCAGATTAGCATGGAATTCGATTCCTTGAATCTTTATGGGACACCTACGACACGCTCTATTTACCCGAGCACTGTGCCCTAATGGATTTGTTACTATCACATCATTACTAGTGGCTTCTAATTGAATTCCCAGTTCTCTCACCAATTTACTACAAATATATGAATATGTTGACCCCGGATCAATCAATATCATAACACATTTATCATACAGTAGAAAGGTACCTGCAATTATCTCAGGATCATCACGTTCTTCATTGGTCTTGAGGTTATACACCCGAGCAACAGAGCGCACTGCTTGTTGAGTAGAAGATTCAGGCTAACTTCTTCCTCTACCTCTACCCCTTCCTCTCTGAGACACCGAAACATATCGTTCCGACTGTGAAGGCTCTACGGACCTCACTGGACAATCTCTCATGAAATGTCCCATTTCCCCACATCGGAAACAAGCTCCAACTCTTACCCTACATATACCACTATGATATCTTCCACAAGTCTGACATTGTCTCACTTGACCCAGATTTGCTCTCCCAGTACCAGACCCTACTGATTGAGTCTGTCTAGCTCTCATTTGATTTGATCCTCTAGCGGAAGATGCCATTGATTCAGACCTCGCCTGAGAACGAAAACCAGAATCTCTACCTCTCTTAGGTGGTGTAAAACTTGATGAATCCCCAGTTTTTTTAGATGGTTAGGCTCTCTGATCCCCAAACCTTTCATTATGATCTCTGTCTAAAGCTTTAGCACGATTAACAACCTCTTGGAACAAGGACAAGTTCAGTACGATCAACATTTCTTTCAACCTCGGGCACAAGCCTTCAACAAACCATTCACAAGTATATTTTTCTGTTGGAATAAGCTCAGCAGCAAAACGACTCAACTTATTAAAATCACACTCATATTCATATACGGTGCGATTCAACTGTTTCATACTCATAAACTCTTGCTTCATTTGCCTTATAAACTGATCTCCAATATACTTGTGCTTAAACTCTTCTAAAAACAACGACCATGTCACTTGATCATTGGTCATCCTCAAGGTAACATTTGTCCACCAGATTCTTGCTTGTCCACGAAGCAAAGAGACCACACCATCTAACTTCTCCACATCAGAACAGTGGAGTCCATCGAACATAATCTTCACATCATTGAGCCAAAGGTCCGCAGCAACAGGATCTTCCTCGGCTTCACCTTTGAATTCAGGAGCTCCTAATCCTTTCAACTCTTTCGCAATATTTATTCTTTGAGTTAAGGAAACAGGAGGTTGAAAATGCATCAGGACAGCGTCCAACGTCCTAAAGAACACATCTTGGTCTTTTGCAGCCACTCCCAGAGTTGTCTGTTCTTCATCTTGCCTGGCCAGGGCCGGTAAATTGCTATTTTCCTCATGTCTATCATCTCCCGCTTCACTTCGGGAACTCTCATGATCAGACATCTAACAAGACATAACCATAAAACTCTATTAGAAGACAACATACTTATAACTCTTATTAGATCAGGTTTGTTTTTTTATTGGCATGTAAACTTTTTAAAACATTTCTGACTTCATTTTATGCCCAGAATCGACTAAACCATAGCTCTGATACCATTAATTGTAATACCCCCAACCCATACCCGACCCGGATACGAGTCCGAGATGTCACATTGACGTTTCAAAACATTTACTTGTACAAAATAGTGAATAATTTTAAACTTTTTCTACATATAACTGAATAATTTACATAAATTATCTCAAACAGTTTATAAAACTTATTAGCGCATAAACGATTTAAAACTTTAGTTACATGCCAACACTATTTATTATAAGAAAGAGAACCTACTATAAAATATCTTCTGATCTGATCTCGGATGAAGCTATGATGTCTCAGAAGTCTATCCTTGCTCTTCCGACTTCTTTGATCCTACATGTGAAACAATCACACGCTAAGTCTTTGACCTAGTGAGGCATATAAAGAATATAATATAAACCATAAAACATTTCATATAACAAATCATATGCATTACATACAGTGTATTTATACTATTTATTTTATTAACTCATGTATTAACCCATATATACTTTTGATATCTTTTGTAGGCCCATGAACATTACTGAGAACTCAAGGTATGTGAGTACTATGAGGTTGCGCACACATATGCTGTCACCACAGCTCGTATAAACTATGTCCCGAAGGACCTATCATCCCGAAGGATGTAATATGTGTCCCGAATGACCTATCATATGTCTCGTAGGACATATGTAACCCTCGACTCTTGGCATGCCAACTATACCACTAGCTCTCATATCACATAACATGGGCATTATCATTTATAGCAGTTCAACTCACTTGTATCATATAAACATGTAATCTCATAACTTATTATTATTGCTCTTATGATCACATATTTCTTTTCTTCTGTCACATACCACATATATGTGTAAACATCTATTTCATATCATATAACATGTATCACATATTGCATATTCACATAGATCATAACACATATAATGGCATATACTCATTTTCATGTACTCATACACACATAATAATCACATCGATCACCAATCAAATAATATTTTAGGAGTCACTTCTTACCATAGTAACTCCATTACTGGCTCATCGTAAGCCAATGTTTGTTTGATAATATAAGTACAAATTAAATTCCACTCACCTTAGCCTTGCTTTGATTCGATCCTAATCCTTTGATTATTCCGGAACTTGTTTAGGATCGATATCTACATAAATATATCATTTTAAAACAACTATCATAAGCCTAAACTTTAAACTTGATGTTAATAACTTAAACCGATTTAATTAATGAATCAAATTCCATTTTTTCATTTAGGGGGGAATCGATACCCCCCAGGGGGGAATTTGTTCCCCTTGCACGTTCTGGAAATTTTGCTCAAGCCTAGAATTCACTGTTCATTGCACGAAAATTCTATATTTTCACTTCAATTCTTCATATTTCATCCCCTTTTATATTCTTAACTCAAATATACACACTTAAACTAATTTATATCCATTTATTTCATCTTAAACCTCAAAATTCTATTCTCCATATAGAAATCAATAATCATACCAAATTTTCCATGTTATCCAAACTTAATTCCTACACTTCTATCTTCTTATTCTCATAGATAACAAGTCAAATTCAACTTAAAATTCAACTTATCAACTCTATTTCAAGATTTCATTCAAAAACTCAAAATCTTTAATCTCTCCTACACCTTTCATCTTGTTGTTTTAGAACAAATTAAGCTTTCCTTAAGCTTAATTATCATCTAGTGATCATAACCCAATTTTTAAAACAACAAATAACCAAGAAATCAGAAACTTACCTTTGAGCTTGGGAGATACGGGAGGAAGATGATGAAAGAAGAAGATGATAAAATGTTTTCATCTTCCACGTTTTTATCTCCTATTAAAGGGATAAAAAAAATCTTTAATGTCAATTGACCATTTTTCCATTTAATTCCTTGAATAATTACTAAAAACTTTCTGGAAATATTCCCAAATAAATCATTGAACTATTCAACTATTCTACTTTAATTACCAAATTCCAAAATTTTACAATTTAGTCACTAACTCATAGTTTGGGATGTTACAGTCTTCGGCAATTAAAAATTACAAAATAATCACTATATTATTCATATATTCTAAACTCATCATTTTTTGTTAAAAATCTGATGGCCGCCTGAGCAAGACATTAACCTATTGATTGGATATGATAAAATCATATTTTAATAATATATATTGGCTCCCCCGTTGCTTTCAAGTATTGGCTCGACGATATAATGTAAAGAGAGAGTCAATCTATAAAATACAACTCAAATGATTTTTGGATTAGGTTAACGTCTAGCTCAGATATACACTAATATTTTAACGTGAAAGGATGAATTTGGAATATATGAGTAGTCAAATGACATTTTTGTAACTTTTTATAGTTAGGAGATTCAACAAAGTATTATCCTATAATCAAAGGGTCATTTTGTAATTTTTAATAGTTAATGGACTCAACAAAGTAGTATTCTATAATCGAATTCTATAATCGATAAATGGTTTGTGTACTTTATCCTAAATTAAATAGTTTTTTTAAACATACCCGTGGAAATAGTAGAAGTAATATAAGATTAATTCCCTATAATCACATATTTAAATATAGAAGCATAATCTACTAAATACATGAAAAAGAAAACTCTCAACAAATGTAACAAAAAAAACTCTTAAAATACGATATATTGGTATAAATGAATTGAGATGAATTGAGAATGTCCTGCATGACTTTTGTTTGAAAAAAATACTTAAAAGCTTGCTGATGAATAATTATAAAGTAAAAAATGTTCAAAATCTAGCATAATTGACTAACTAAATCTGAGACGATTTCCATACTGAAAAACTATTAATCCCTAGAGCCAGACCCCAACAGCTTTATTGTGATGCTAACAATCATTCTGCAAAAGCAGCTATCATATTCTTAACTTATCTATGAGTACGAGAACCTAAAGATTCTATGCTCTTCCCTGGGTTTTTTTAACCAGCTTTTATGTATACATAGATCAAGAAGTATATAAGTATTTAGATCTTAATGGTGAGAAAATGGCTCCCATTGTTGATTCCCAAGCCTGCTGAAATTTTCGGAAACTCTGTTGGCGAGCCAAAGAAATTGCAATCGGTTCATGGAAAAAGTAACTGAAAGTTGCTTCCTTTATGTCTAGATTTTGTTTGCGGCAACAATTGACATTGTGGCAAAGATCAGCAGGAAGCTGAATGACACAGAGCTGGCAGAGCTTGGGAGTCCTGTTGGTTCTGCTGAACCATACACCGTGTCTCCGCCCGGTCGGGTAAAAGGTGGGCTCTTCGTAAAGGGTGGGGTCAAGGTTGTGGCATCCGGTGGCGATAGGGTGGCCGGTGGCGTTATGCTGGCTGGCAGAGCAACACTGTGTTTACATTTTAAAAGAAAAATATAAGCACGCATGTATTGCCTTTGTCTTGAAGATAAAATTGATATGAGAGCCGGTTCCAAGGTGGTTGTAACTTGTAAGATATTTACCTTGTTGGCGAGGATGCTGCATAGTGACAGTTCCCTTTACCTGGATAAATATACAAAAGGTAATTTTTAATTGAAAGAGTATAATTAAACTGTAGTTTAGAAACAACTTTTTTTTAACTGCAATGTCATACTTGGGTCTGTATTTGTAAGCTGAGCAGTGCCTCCAAAAACACAGCTCGTTGGAGCAGGGTGTTTTTGGTAGTAATCATTGAAAGCATAAGAAGCATGATCCTGAACAGTGTTGGGTTCATAACAAATTCCACCAGGTTGAATAGCTGAGCAGTCCGCACCGCCATATCCGCAAGCATAGTCTAGAGCTACTTGTAGAGCAGTTGGTGAAGCACCTTGATTTGCAATACACCAGGAACCTCCTGGTTTGGGTTGTAGGAGTTGGGGTTTGGGTTTGGGTTGTTGGAGTGGGGATAGGGGTAGTCAGATTGGTGATCGGCTCTGTAGACGGGGATGTGGGGTTCGGAGTAGTGCCTGGAGTTGTAGGGTTGACAATGGGAACATTATCTAGTAGTGTAGTGGATATTGAAGGGTCGAGAAGCAACCGAGATTCTTGGTTGCTTTGTTTTCTCTGATTGATTTCTTGGAGAGGAGGTTTCCTGGAAATACTTTAACCTGAAGAGATCAAAAAGCAAATTATCGGATTGACAAAAATTTTCCCGAGAAACATTCACTCATTCAGATGATCATTGTTTCTCTATTACAATGATCCATCACCTACCAATGAAGAAAATCCTAACAAGATTTCCCATAGAAATATATGAACATGACAATAGGTAAAGAAACAAAACATTTTAAAGGCATTGATATAAATATATAGCATTCACCTGAACATAGGAAGAGGTGCAAGAGAGAGATTGTAAGAAACTGAACTAGTCTAAAACCCATGGCTTGAATGTGCTTGTATAGTAGAGCAGGTAAGGAAAATCTTGTTTAGTAAGAACAATAATGTAGAAGCTAATGGGTATTTATATAATAAAACAATGGGCCAATGGAGGAATTGCAAAGAAGGGTCTAGTAATCATCCTTCCATAAAATAACATAAACTGGAAACATGAAGAATCCAAGCTTCCTTGGATCGAAGATATGGAAACAGAGAAAGGAGAATATAAGAAAACTTGTTAAAGGAGGCATCGGGATGTTGGGATTACTATTTGTTTAATTAAGACACTGATGTGGTGGGGTGGCTTTTTTTTTTTCTTTCTTTCTACTGTTTCTGGGACTGAATCTAAAAAGGTTAAAGGTTGGCAGAGGAGATTTTTATTATGATTTTGATGCAGCAAAGGGATGCCAACATCTTAATGAAGCAAATGATTGAAGCTTTTTGTTGACACCTCAAACATTACATTTCAAATCTTGCCAAATGTCATCCTTTTTTTTCAATTCATAACTTGTAAAGGTGAAGAAAGAAAAAGCAAAGGGATAACAGTGTATAAATTCTATGCAAATAACAAAATGTGTCAACTTTCTCAACAACAAAAAATCATTTTTTTGTGTGTGTGATACGATGCATACATTAGCTAAACTTCCTGTAAGAAATGAGTTTACTACTTTGTATTGATAACTGAACAAATAAGTATTTTTTTCTTAATTTGATGATGAAGACGATGATGATAATAATAGTACTACATTAAGGATTTTCAGTTGGGGCAATTGCTTCCGTTGCATTGCGGTAAATCCGTCTTGGCAGTCCCTTTTACTTATGCTGGTATTGTATCAGCTAAAACTCTGAATCCAAATGTAATCCCACTTTGACTTATTACTGGATATATGTCAAAGGCCTGCATGCAAGCAAATCAGCTCTTAAGTCTGCATTTTCATCTTGAATCCATCAAGTGCACCTACTGGGCATGCAAATCCAAATAATGCCTCCATTTAACTGCAGAATTCCATACCATATGTCTAGTGAATATCTGACCAGGAAGAGGGGGGAAATAATTGAATAAGAAATAAAAAAGGACAAGGAAACACCTGCTTCTAGCCCTGTCGAAGTGAATTGCATCTCGACAGATGTTGTGCAACATCACTCCAAGCTGCACATAAAGCTCTGTTAAGCAGATATCGAAGATCGGCCAGTTTCAATTCATTGTTAGTGCTAGGAAATCTAAGGTGGCCTTTAGGTTTACATTTGGAGTTTTGAACATCTGGGACAAATAAAGATGGAATTTTTTAACAACAAATGAATCAAATGAGGAACATAGTTTTAGGATTCCTTGCATGAGAGAGCTCAAGTAATGCAATTAACTCCCCTTCGCTTGAACCGAGAAAGAAGTAAACTACCTGGGAAGTTTCTACATTCAGGTTCTATTCCATTGCCATTGATATCCATCTGATTTGGTGTCGCATACTTTCCGACAGTGACAACCACCCCAGATCCATCACGAAGTTCAAAGACAGATTGAATTAGACCCTGCAACAGACAATACAGGATTATATCAGATTCTAATAGACAAAATTTTCAAGATATATAATCAAGGCTAATATTTATTTCCATTAGTTCAATAACTAGATCAGTAAAAGACCTGAACTCAATCCTTTTAACATGGAAAACTTTAAACATGGCCTTCCATTTAACCAAAATAACGATTTCAATTTCCAGCCATGAAAAAAATCATCGTGATCCCAAAAAACAGCAAGTCAAAGATACCGAGCAGACAGTTTAAAATTAATTTCAATTTGATTGGGCAGGGGTGTCTATGATAGACAAATTATAAAGAAAAGAGAACTGAGGGAAAGCTTAAGTTGCAGCAATAAGCTAAACTTCAAACCTTGCCAAAAGTCCTATCCCCAACAAGAGCTGCTCTACAATTATCATGAAGTGCAGAAGCAACCTGAAGTAACAAATGACAATTTAGAATAAATGCAACTGTAAAAGGGAAATTGTCTTCTATGGCCACTGCATATTAAAAAATGTATAATGTGGCACCTGAATTTAAGCATATATGTATAGTTAGATACCTAAACTTTCAGTTTGTACATCAACCTCCCCATGGCCTTAAATTGTTAACACTTATCGATGATGTGGTAACCAATAAACAAAAATTTGACATACATGAATATTGCACAAATGGATAACATGGAGAACTGCCACATAACATTATCAGTACAAAAAGAAATCAAATTTATGAGAAACCCCCCTCCCACACAATATATATATATCCTTCTTTCTCATACATATTAAATTCGATTTCTTGAATATATATATATATATATATATATATATATATACATTTTAAATAATTTTTTTCACAAAATTTAAAGATAAAATTGGAATTAATTGTTCTACTTTCTTCCATTTACTCTCCTTTTTCTTCTCTTCCCCTACCTGTCCTCACCAATGACTGGATCATGACACAAAAATACTGGCTAATCTTCAAAGAGACCGGAAATGGCCTGATCAGTCAGGGCCCACCTAGTCTGGCAAAACCTTGTCAGGTAATGACTAGATCAGGCCATAGTAGGGGAGGATAGGGGAATCAAGGAGAGAAGTAAAAGGGGTTGAGAAAAGGGGAAAAATAAAAGCTAAAACTAAATTTTTAAATAAATTATGGCACAACACAGCTACATGGTAGCAGCGTATCATCCGCATGTACAATACATGTGTCAAAATTTATGGATGCACCATGTCATTAATATAGGTAAGGTATGGTGTTAGGCATTAGGAGATTGATACATGGACTGGAATTGAGGAAAATACCTAATAAAACATTTTCAAAGTTCCATAATAGAAATTTTCTAACAGGCCGGGGACTATACAAGAAATTATCCCATTGTGAAAAGAGAAGTAATCATAGATAAGGGGGCAACCGGTCTACTCACAATTTCACTTGCACTAGCAGTTTTGTTTTTCACCAAAACCTGCACAGAAGATTATTACCCAAATTATTTTCATCTGAACAACAAATTAAGGACTAACAATTTTTACACGCTTCTCTACGTGTTGCAGAAAACACCAAGTGTTGATTCATATTTGAACTGTTATATGTCTAGGTAAGTCCCTGGAAATTCTTATTTTTTCCATGGTTAGAGAAGCCCTAGAAATTCAAGTCTACCTTTAAGACAGTCACCAACCCAATTCTAGTTCTTTAAGACATTTCATTTTGAACAACCACTTTAGCAAAATTGGCATTGAGCACTGAATGAATAGAGTTTTCTAGGATCCAATGGAAAGGGATACGTTTCATAAGGAACAAACTAAAAGCACAGATGTAAGGATGATGAAAAAGTGCATACAACTACAGGCAATGTAACCAACGGGGCAGTATCAGCAACAACATTATTCTGGTACTGTGGATCCCTCCCAACTGTGTAAATGATCTGCTCAGTTTTACCAGCAAGAAAAAAACACCAAAACTACATAATAAGTCGTAGAAATCACACATATGCATCAACAAAATGTTTTTTGTGTAGTAGTTGCATCATATGCGAGATACTTTCTCAGGGTTAAAATACAGAGATGAAGAAAATAGCTCAAAATATCATAGCATGTACATTTATAAATAGAGAGAGAGAGAGGCAGTCAGCCTTCTTTACAGTTTAAATCTGTAATGAGTGACATACCGTCTCCCCTTTATTCAGAAATAGCTTGGAAATTTCAATTCCAGCCTGAAATGCACAAAACACAGATGATAATAACCAAACATAAATGTCAGATGGAAAGGTAAAACTAACTGGGAAGGCAAAAGCAAACAAACCTGTACTAGTCCTCCAAGATTGTCTCTAAGATCCAAAATGAAATATGAAGCACCCATATCTTGAAGTCGCTTCATTGCTGCAGTGGAGATTATTTCATTAATCTAACAGAGTATGTAAATAAGAGAAGCAGAAGTTAACTCCATGAACATAGTTAAACTAGTATTAGCATCACAGTTTTAAGCCACAAGACAAAGGACGTCAATAGTAGGACTAGGAGAAACAAAACTCTTAAATCATCAAATGCAGGATATCTATGAACAGATAAAAAAAATTTGCTTTTACATGCTTTGATAGCTTATGTCTCAAGAAGTTTGTTTAAAGATAGAAGCAACCATTGACCATCAACATGCCATAGACGCTTGTATTCCTTTTTCTGTGCTCAAAACAATTCACTTCCTATTATATAACAAAGTTGGCCCATCAATTTGCTTTGTTTATCACTATAGCTTCAATTCTGGAAGCAGTATGTATGTGACAGTGTGAGGGAGAAAGAGGGAGGGCAATTGACAGTCATATGACTCATATCTCACACTAATTTTCAAAGACTAAAAGACACATAAATAATAAAAAAAAATTAAGTTGTTCATCACAAAATAGGAAATAGCAATCAAGTAACATCCACTAAAATAATAAACATTACCAATGACCAAATCTTTTCTAGCCAAGGCATTGAATTCTTTAAGCCTCATATACCCAACAGAACTAGGGTCGTTACTAACTTGTTCCAACTGATAAAAAACAGATGTTCGAGCAACAAGTTGTTTTTGGATTTCTAGGGATTCAGTAGGTACACAGTTGCCATGCCTGACCTAAAATTGAGAGTGGATCATTGGATAAAGAAGGAACATCTGTAAAGGTTAACAATGAACTGCTATATTCACAAGGGTAATGAAGAGCACAACCTTAATGGTCACACAGGTTTCATTAGGACCTTGTAATAAAGATGATACTTCAAAAGCTGATTTCCCCATGACATCTTCTCCATTAACAGCTAAAACTTCATCTCCCTGTCAAAAAGAAATTACTAACATTATGACACGTATCAGCCATGCACATGTACACTACAGAGAAACATTAAATCAACACTTGCATATAGAACCTTCCAATTTCGCTGCAAAATACAAGAGAATTATTTGTCCTGTTAAATAAATTAGGCACCATTACTTATCACTCTCCGTAGTATCATTGTTCTC